GGAAGGAAGGAAGGAAGGAAGGAAAGAATGAGGAACGCGGGGCACCGTCTCTTCAAAACGAGGACCCAACACCACAGGATGGTTGGGAAATGCACTGCGAGGGAGTCCCGCGCGAGGGCGCGCGTCTTCCATGCAGGCTACCTCCTTTTTGCGTCTGCTCCGAGCTCCGCGCTCCGAGCTCCGCGCGAGGGCCTCCGCGCTCTCGCACGGTCCCCCGAAGAAGGACAGCCTTCTGAAATCAAGACCGCGAGGCACACGAAGCCCGGGTCCTCCTCGCGCCACTGCGGGTGACCGAGGAAGACGAGCACAAGCAAACACAGAAGGGGGGGGGGAGGAAAGGGGGTTCGGTTCCAAATCCCCCCCCTCCAAGCGACCACAGAACGCGCTCTTTCCCTTCTTCTGACACTGGACGGGGGGAAGGTGGAGAAGAGAGAGGGAACCAGGCCCGACGCACTGGCGCTAAAGCCAGCCTCAGCCAAAACGGCTGCGGGCCCCGGTCTTGCCATCTCGTCCGCCTGCTTGCCTGCCTCGGGCGCGCCCGGGGAGAAGGAGACTTGCCCTCTCGCCGCGACGCTGCAGGGCGGCAACAGATACACCACCGGTGCCGTGTCAGCTCCCCGACGTCGCAATTTTGTCGTGACGTGGGCACCTGGGCGTCTCGCCCCCCTTCTCCAGGGCCCTCGCCTCATCCTGGGCAATGTTCTGACGGCCCTTGGGGTCCAAGACGGGCCTGCGGAGGCCTCAAAACTGGCGGCGGAGACCGATTTCGGTACACGGTCCACCCAAGCAAACGACCCTCCGGGGGGCCCCGACCGCCGTGCTGCGGTGAGCGGAGGCCTCTGCTGCTTAACAACAATCACAAGGAAATTATGCCCCATGGGAAACTGCCAGCTGCCCCACTGAGGATTTCGCCGTAGTCGCCGTAGTCTTTTACTATGGCGCCAGAGGTTTCGGCTGTACCTCCGTTGCCCCGCCCTCCCCTCTCTTCCTCTGCTCCCTCCCAGGGCTGGCGCGGGAGGTGCTGGCAGTGTGTGACTGGTGTTGTGCCCAAGAGTTCTGCCTGGAACTCTCTGACAGAAGCGATTGCCTTTCCGATCACTCCTTCCAGAGGGGGTGCCCAATATCCCCATGAGAGGGCTCCAGGCGGCACCGAAGAGGGCCCAAAGAGGTGGACAAACCGCACCCCAAGCTTTTCAATACGCCTCTCCCCCACCCACGTCGCCCCGCCCGACAGCCAAGTCTGCCCCTCCCCCCCCCACCCACGCGCACCGAAAACGTCTCTCACGGGATCTGCCCCATCGCACAGGACAGCCCCATCCCACTCCCCCGCGCCATCCATCCCCGCTGTCGGTGCTTTAGGCAGCGGAGGGAGCTCTTTCTCACCAGCAAGCTCTGGGGAGGGCCCCCTGGAGGGGGCCCCCAAATGGCTGGCCGTGGCGGCAGGGCTCCCCTCGCTCAGGAAGGGACCATGGTTAGGAGTGGGGGGTAGAGAGAAGAAGTACGAGGAGGAGAGGTAGGATGAGCAGGCGGAAGAATAGGCCAGGCCGAGAAGCTTGGTATGCTTCCGCAGTGCTGCGGCCGGTGGTCCTAATAGTCTGGCGTTGTGCTGGCCCGCATGGTTTAGCACAAGGGGGCCGCCGCCGGCTGCCACAGCCTGGGCACGGCTGTCCCCTGAGTGCTGGGGACTGCCATTCCTTGCCCCCCCCCTCGACGAGAAGGAAGAGGAGGAGGAAGAAGAGGAGGAACGACCAGAACAAACCCAACACACCCAAACCACTGATGCTATAACGCGCCCTCCCGTCCGAAGTCTCATCCTCACAAGTCCATGCGCATCCTTTTCGCTGCGGAGAGTGCCCGTCAGAAAAGGTGAGGGTCTCATGGGTATGCCCGCCAAGATCCCTGCGCTGGTGTTTCGATGTGCACGCCAAAGGTCATATTGGTTTTCGACCGCGTGGCGTTATTCTCTAAACAACCTATCTTTCAGGGTCCTGGATTTTTCCCTTGCGACCGGTTGTGGAGCCGAGCCCCCAAGATCGGTGGCCCGCCGTGCCCGCCATCGTGGCCCCCCCGAGATTACTGGCCCATCGTGGCCCCCCGTCGCGAGAACTGTGCAGAGGTGCCCCTCCTCCTCCTCCCCCTCCTCCGACTCCTCCTCCTCCTCCTCCTCCTCCTCCTCCTCCTCCTCCTCCTCCTCCTCCTCCTCCTCCTCCCCCCTCCTCCCCCCCTCCTCCCCAGAGATCATTGGCGCATCGTGGCCCCCCATCGCGAGAACTGCGCAGAGGCGGATGTGGGAAGCAGTTGTCCTCCGCCTATAGATCAGAGGTAAGCTTCAAGACTTCTGGACACGGGCGCACCGCCTGGGTGAGAGCACAGTTTGGGCAGAGACTGCCCTTCGTGCGCGAAGCTGCTGGACCCTGGACAGTACAACCATTCGAATCGTACGTGGTCGTCAAAGGAATGAACTCACTTACAAACGAAAACAACTTGTTGGTGTGAGGAGCGGCTGGTCGTGAACTGTTGCAACGTGTCGCCGCGACGGCCCTGGCGATACACTGTCCCTTGCAAGCGGATAGCGTGTCGCTCCGTTCCGCGGGGCGGGAGGCTCAGGAAAGCTCGGGACGTTGACGCCTGGGGACTGGGAAGTGGATAGCGTGTCGCGCCGAAACGTGGTGGGCCAGAACCGGCGGAGTGACACGCTAGCAAACAATTTCCGCCCGTTTGCTTTCGAGAAACTCGAAGGAGCGCCTCCAAAAACAAGTGGGGCACCACGTCCGGCATGGGATACAGCCTCGACTCGACGACATCATTCTCTTTGCTACGACTGCCCTCGCGAGAGCGTTTAGGCACGAGCTGCGTAACGGGCAACCAGGTGCGATAACTAACTGCGTAACAGGCAAGCAGGTGCGATAAAGAGCTGCGTAGCAGGCAATTCCAAGTACGAGGGTGAGCTACGTAAAACGCGGAGCTCAATGACGAGCACCACCGCCATTGCGCCACCAGGACCGGCGCCACCACATCGGGAGAAGGCTCGTGCGACCGTGCGACCCTGGTCGGGAGCGGCCAAGAGGGGGGCGTCCAAGAGGGGGGGGGGGTGCAAATCATGCCGCGGCACGTGCGCGGCCCAGGGGGGGCAGGGACGTAAATTAAATAAGAAGGGGGCGCCATGAAATCTGGGGAGATATCATGGCCCCCCCGCCACGATATCCACACCCCCCTGGTCATCACCCCCCTCTTGGTCGACCCCGACCTGGGGCGCTCCCTGTCGGCGTCCCCCGTTGCCCGCTCCCCCTGCTCCTCCTCCTCCTCCTCCTCCTCCTTCTCCTCCTCCCTCCTCCCTCCTCCTCACTCTCCTCCTCCTCCTCCTCTCCTCCTCCTCCTCCGCTCCTCCTCCTCACTCCTCCTCCTCCTCCTCCTCCTCCTCCTCCTCCACCTCCTCCTCCTCCTCCATCCTCCTCCGCCTCCCGCTCCTCCTCCTCCTCCTCCTCCTCCTCCTCCCCCTCCCCCTCCTCATCCCTCCTCCTCCTCCTCCTCCTCCTCCTCCTCCTCCTCCTCGTACCTATGGTAGTGTTGGTGGAGCATCGGCCCATCAGCCCCCGCAGAAGGCCGCTCCCCCCCCCCCCCCCGGGGCCCCGCTGCGGCCTTCGAGCTGCTTCAGCACGCGGGTGGTGACGGCGAACCTCGACGGGCGAGGGCCCCCCCCGTGCCGGGAGCAGAGAATGCTCCGGGGTGGGGGGGGCGGGTGAGGTCTGGGCGGCTCTCCGTATGGGCTCGGGGGGTGCCCCCCATGGAGGACCAGAACGGGCTGCCGGAGGAAGAGAAGAGCGAGCAGGGGATGGAGGAGTGGAGGGAGGAGAGGGAATGAAAGAGAGAGAGAAAGATAATACACACATAGACACAAACAGACATGCATCTCTATATATGTATTTAGCTCCATGTATATGTGTACATACATGAGTTGTATATGGTGAGAGAAGGAGAACGAGAGCGAGAGAGATAACGACATTGATACCTACACATATGAATAGACGCAGGTATGTTTGTATAGAAGTTAAACATCTATACATATACAGCGGAGAAGGATCCATAGCTAACAGGAAAGAGGAGGGAATCACACACACATATATATACACAGCTATAGAGGGACACGGACACATACATATATATACATATATATATATATATATCAGATCGAGAGAGAGCGATATAGAAACACACACACATATATAGAGCGAGAGAGAGAGAGAGAGAGAGAGAGAGAGAGAGAGACAGAGAGCGGGAGAGAGAGACAACGAGAGAGAGAGAGTGATAACTGTATACATATATGTATATAAACATATGTTTATATAGTTAGATATACACAGAGAGAGAGAGAGAGAGCGAACGATGCACACACATATTTATATATACATATATATATATATAGAGAGAGAGGGAACGAGAGCGATACACATCCATACATAAAGGGAGATATAGTGATCGAGAGAGAGAGAGACATAGAGAGAGAGAGAGAGAGAGAACGATAAATAGAGAAAGGGAGAGAGAGAGAGAGAGAGATAGAGAGAGATATAGAGAGAGGGGAGCGAGAGGGAGAGCGATAGAGAGGGAGAGCAAGAGACATGAAGAGGGATCTATACACATACATACATGTACATCTACATATAGACATACAAATATATACATATATATATACATATATGGTGAGAGCGAGAGAGAGAGAGAGAGAGAAAACAAAAAAAAAAGAGGGGAGGGAGAAGAGGGGAGGAAAGGGAGGGAGGGCGGAGGAAAGGGAGGGAGGGCGGCAGCCCCCCTCTTGAGGTTCCGCGGGGTATCAGGAAGGTCAGAGGGCATTCCAAGGGGTCAGGGAGCAGGAAGGGTGAACAGAGTGAGATGGGCGGAGGAGGAAGAGGAGGAGGAGGAGGAGGAGGAGGCGGAGGAGGAGAAGGAGGAGGCGGGGGAGGAAGAGGAGGAGGAGGAGGAGGAGGAGGAGGAGGAGGAGGAGGAGAAGGAGGAAAGGAGGAGGAGGAGAAGGTGGAGGAGGAGGAGGAGGAGGAGGAGGAGGAGGAGGAGGAGGAGGAGAGGAGAAAGGATGAATGCGGCTCTGGGGGTATCCAACGGTTCTGTGGGGTACCAGGGGGGTCAAGAGGAGATTTGAAGGGTGGGTGGGGGGGAAGCGCAGTAGAGGGGACCGGAGGAAGGAAGGGATGGAGGAGGAAGGGGAGGATCGGTTCATGCTGACGATGACGACAACAACAACACTGATGATGATGATGATGATGATGATGATGATGATGATGATGATGATGATGATGATGATGATGATGATGATGTGGAGGAGGAGGAGGACGAGGAAGGGAGGTAGGGAGGTAGGGAGGGAGGACGGGCGGGCAGGCGGGAGGAAGGAGGATGAAGAGGACTTGTTTCAATTTCAACTTGTTTCAATTTCAACTAAATCCTGCTGACCAGAGAAGCGGCCTGGAACATAAGCCTGTGGGGAAGCACAGACAGTGGGTGGGCTCAAAGGCATCGCCTCATCCCGCCGCCGTCCCAGACGGGGTCGGAGGAGGAGAGAAGCGCCCACTCCCCCTCCCGAGGGAGGCGACCCTTCATGAAGCCCCAGCACGGGCTGAGTTTGGCAGTCGAGGAGAAGGGGGAGAGGTGAGCAACCTTCCTCCTCCTCCTCCGCCTCCTCCTCTGCCTCCTCCTCCTCCTCCTTCTCCTCCTCCTCTCCCTCCCTCCTTCAGCTCCTCTTCCTCTTCCTCTTCCTCCTCCTCCCCTTCCTCCTCCTCCTTCTCCTCCTCCTCCTCCTCCACCTCGTTCTCCTCCTTCTCCTCCTTTTCTTCCGCCTCCCTGATCCTCATGCTCCTCTCTCGTCCTCCTCCTTCTCCTCCTCTCGCTCCTCATCCTACTTCTACCTCCCTCCTCCCTCCTCCCTCCCTTCTCCCTTTGCTCTCCGCACTCCGTCCCTGCTGGCTGCCTGCTCCTCCCCCTCCCGCTCCCTCTCCCTCCAATTCCCTCCCTCCCTCCCTCTTCCCCCTCCGCCTCCTCAGACACTAGGCGTCTCGATTTCTCTGTTTCGTACACTTGAGTTCCTTTGTCCTGGACGCGGGACATGGGCTCCCAGACTGCTCAACCCCCTCCACGTGGGGCTTGCACCCCGGGCCGTCTCGTGGTGGCTCCCGGGGCCCGAAGCTGGCGCCCGCAGAGGCCCAAGACGGAGGACCAACAACACGAGGCCCCGATCTCTGCTCGAGCCGCCGGCCCCGGGCTCCCGTTCCGCGCCCGGACACTCCTCGCGATGAGGGGCAACGACCGCGGGGGGGGGGCACTGGCTCGGGAGGGGGGGAACATCGACGCGGAATCTCGGCGATGCGTCGCCGATGGATCGGCGAGAGGCCCCCGACAGCGAGTGCGCACGTACCAGGGCGGGATGGGCCATCAGGCCCCGTCGGCGACGGATGGGCGATTGAGGGTCGATGCATCCCCCCCTGAGCCTGTCACCCCCCGAACGTTGCCCCTGGCGATCCGCATCTCAAGCAGCCCGAGGTGGAGAGCCGCCGCTCGTCCTGCCACTGGTCGGCGGTGAAGACGCCCATGATCTTCCAGTCCTCTCGCCCAGCTAATATAGAGGCCTCCCCCGTTGAGTCTGAGTGGATGGGGTCGGAGGATCGCGCCGCGCCGCCGATGCATCGGCGGTGGTTCGGCGACGTCGGTGATCCATCGGCGACGTCGGCATGGAGAACATCGGGCTCCACGTCGAGCCGCGTCGCCGATGCATCGGCGATGCGGCGCGAGCTGCTTCGACCCCACCTGGGCGGCCTGGACGATGGCCCGGGGCCTCGGCCATCCTCACCAGGCTGCGCACGCGGGCCCCGCACTGCCGCACGCGCCACGCAGGCGAGGGGGCCAAAGGAGAGGAGCGGAGGCCGTCCGCGGGCGGGCGCGTAGGCTCTCGACGTCCGCGGGGGGTGCTGCGCAGTCGGCCCCAGGGGCACCGCACTCGGCGCCGCGCGCGGGGACGGTGAGCTCACGAGGTCCCCTCGGGACCTCCCTCGCGCCGCGGCAGAGAAGAGTCACGGCGGGAGCTTGGTGGCGGATCTTCGGCCCCTGCAGGGGCGCCCCGGGGCCGCCACCGGAGAGGGCTCGGCGTGCGAAAAACTGGTCCAGGGATTGGGCCGAGGCCTTCGTGGGGTCCATGCTGTGAACAAGACGGCGGCGCCGGGGACCTTGACATCCGCCGATGTGGTCTGTCCAATCCGCGGCCCCAAATCGCCCCGATCCCTTCCCCAGGCCCAGCTTTCCGTTTCGGATCCGTTCTTGGTGGCCCCCGGGCCCAAGAACGGCTCCCAGTGGGCGAAATCGAAGGAAAACGTCGGGATCGAACACATCATATGTGGGCGGCGCGCCCTGGTGGGGAAGTGAGAAGGGGCGGGCCTTCTCAGAAGGCCCGGAAGTCCCGAGGCCTTCTGAGAAGTTTCCGAAGCCTTCCCCGAACACGCAGGAAACTTCTCAGAAGGCACGAGGGCTTCTGAGAAGTCCCGCCGCCTTCCGAGAAGACCTTCTCCTTCTCACTTCCCCCCTGGCTCGCCGCCGAATATGGACGAGCTGGGAAACCCTGAACCAAAAAACGTTGCCATAATTGTCTGGGGGGGGCGCAACTTTTGCCTCTGCTGGCCGCCGCGGGCTTTCCGCCGGCCGCGATGGCGGAGGCGCCCTCGTGTTAGCTCCGCCACCCTTGCGCCGACTTGCGCCGATGGCGAGATGGTACGGCCGGACCGAGGTATAAGATCGAGGTCGATTCGGGGAGGGTGCCCTAATGTTCTTCGTGCTTGTTGGACGTTCTCGTGCGTCCTGAGGGAGGGCACACTCGAATGTTCTTCAGTCAGGGTCGGCAGAGGGTCTCATTTTCTTGAAGAGAATTATTATGTCCTAGGTCCGACCGTAACTCCCTTTCCGAAATGCCAATGCAACCAAGCCGTATAATAAGGACGCACGATAGAGATGGGCCTTGGAAGGTCATGCTGACACTTTGCGAGAGGGGCGCGGTCAGCGAAAGCGGCCAAGGATGAGCCGAAGGGGAAGGATGCAAGGGTAACCTTGGAAAGCCGCTCATCGTTACTATGCGGATTGACAGTATGTCGCCACGCCGTTGGTTCTCGACGCGTCCCAGTGGACGACGCCGACACCACGGCAAACCCACGGCAAGCCCACGGCGAACCCACCGCGTCCGAGGCGGCGTTCGCCCTGGTGCCCGAGGCGCCCTCCCCAACATGGAACCGCGCGTCGGAGCAAACGGCGCGGCGACATAGTCGCTGGAGATCTGAGGATCTGTGTCGGCGGCGCTCGGGGCGGCGCGGGGGCGAGGCGCGCGAGGGCTGCTCGGCTCCTCTGGGCCCCCATGGGTTTTTCTTGCCGAAGGGAGGAAGGGGGAAATGCGACATCCACCGTGAGGCCAGCAGTGCGATGTGTTAAACCTGCCTCCGACTGCGCGCGCAACAGGCATGAGGCAAAGGGCGGAGCTGCGGGGCGAAACTGCTCCGGCACCCCGCCTCTGGAGGAGGTCGGGGCTCCCCGCGAGACGCCCTGGAGGCGGCGGGGCCGCGGCGGGGGCACCCCCTCCAGCGCCCGAGCGCCTCGTGCGGCTGCTCCGGCGAGCTTCGAGCCTGCTGTGCCTGCCATGCATGCGGTGTCCCCAGATCTCCGGCGACCTGCTCTAGTGGGTGTTGATGGCGAGCAGGCTGCACAACGCCTAGCCGCTCTCGCGTGAAGCGCGAGAAACTGGTAAAAGGTGTGAAAGAATCCAGCCACGCAGAGCCTAGCCGAAGTCAAAAAACGGCGACCTGCTCTGTCCCAACTGGGCGGCTCTTCCTCGACTTGGGCCCCTCGGGTCCCGGGGCCATCAAGAATGGATCCCGGCGAAACACTGGCCCAGACCCCTGGGGCCGCGGACGGACACCTCGCGTCCTCGGACTGTCAGGGTCTGTCCTCCGTCACGGGTGGGGGCGCTCGTGCCGCGCTGGCTTCACGGCCTCCAGTGCGCTGCGGGCAGAGCGAGCTGCCAATCAGACCGGAGGGCGGGTTGAGCTGCTGAGGGGTTCGGTGGGAGCGGGAGCGCGGAGGGGGGGTGTCCCCTCCTGCATGCCAGTCGCACAACCCAGCTGGCACTCCTCAGGCCACCCATCAAAACTGCCATCGACCAGCGCGGTTATCGTGCTCTCGCTCGGTCTGCTCCTTATTCCAATGCGACGTCGTCGGGCCAAGCCCGCCCATGCAATCTGCAACATTCCAACACCGATCCCAACCAACACGACTATACCGTCGATCTAGACCAATGCGGACTCCAACTTGGGATGCACGGAAGATATTGACGAAAAGGTGATAAAGAACATAGGGAGTGGGTACGCAAGGCAATGTATCTGGTGAGAGGTAAAACAGAGTCACATTTTACGACGCATGATGAAATGCTATACCGCGAGGAAGGTGGGACGATGTAATACAAGGGCCACGGAGGTCAGCTCAGGCAAATTAGCCCTCCCAGCTGAGATATTATTGGCTGATGCGAGCCATGCTTGAACCAGCCATGATGCGTAAGCCAAGTCAACGCTCAAGCTAGAGCTGAAGCTGAGCTAGACTACAAGCTAGATTCTGCACTGGCAGAACACGAAGTCAAGGCAGAAGCTACATATGGAGCTTTACTCATGCAGTTCAGCGCATGCTGTCGGACTGTAACGTAGCAGATCTTTATACACACATAGACATACACACTTACTGTGCGCATGTGAAATTACCCCGCATCCGAACCGCCGATACATTACTACGAAGCCGAGCTAGAGCTGTGACGCAAGCTACTGCTCGGCTAAGCTCAGTCTCTCAACGCAGCAGGGTCCCGCTGGCTTAAGATGACTGTAAAGCTAAACCTATTTCAGAAACTGCCATTGAACACAATCCTGCAACTGCCAAAAAATTACACCAACCGCATGCTCAGCTTTATGCATAGAAGCTGAGACTACATTTCCGACAACATTTTGGCGGGGCCATCCGGCTGCACATGTGAGACCTTCTACCACACAAACATGTGTGTGTGGGTGTGTGTGTGTGTGTACATTTGTGTGTTGGCTTCGCCGATGTACCGCCGAGAACTGCGACCCGTGATGGGACAAATTCGAACATGGGAAATGCGGCATGGGGCGTAGATCCGAGGCCATGCGGGTTCCTGCACTCCCCCTGGGCAATCCAGAACCGCTGCGCTCGCGCTCAATGCGGGGGCAGCCCTCCAAGCGAGATGAGCAGACTCCTGCGGGCGAAGTGCTACCCGCCCAGCAACCTCGCATCCCGCTCAACAGCTGAGAAAATGTGACTGGGCGGGAGCCGCTGGCCCCGAACCCATGGGGTAACGGCGCCAAGCACACGTGCCACATTGGGGTCGCGGTGCTGCGCGGGTGCACCTCACCCGACCGAGCCGCCCGGGCAGTTACAAGTGGGCTGGCCGCACGTGTATGCATGTGCTGGCTCACTATGTGTGCGTACATGTGGCAATGCGCCTATCCTACAATGGATGCGTATGCGCACGTACATTGCATGCTCGTGCGTGCGTCTGTGTGTGTGTGCGTGTTTGAGAGAGAGAGAGAGAGAGAGAGAGAGAGAGAGAGAAAATCACAAAAAGAGAGAATGAGCACACCAGCGTACATGCAAATGAAAGCACGTAAGTGAAAATATGCATGGTTGCGCTATCTTATAGCTGTATACAAAGACATGTAGATTCCCCAAACAGTGCTGGCACTTAGGGTACCTTATATGTTTTCTAAGGAGCTGGGCCTCCGTGTTGGTGCAGCGGCTGTCGCTCAGTGGCCACCCCGTCGCCGCCTCGCCGCTGCCAGTCGTCTGGGCCTGCGTGTTGGTCCAGCGGCTATGTCGCCGCTGTTGTCGCCTCGTCGTCGCCAATCGTCTGGGCCTGCGTGTTGGTCCGGCGGGTATGTCGCCGCCGACGCCGCCGACGCCGCCCCATCGCCGCCTCGTCGTCGCCAGTCGTCTGGGCCTGCGTGTTGGTCTGGCGGCTATGTCGCCGCCGTCGCCGCCCCGTCGCCACCTCGTCGCCGCCCCTCGTCTGGGCCTGCGTTTTGGTCCAACGGCTGTGTCGCCGCACGTTGTCTGGGGCTGTCTGTCGGTCCGCCGGCAATGTTATCGCCGTCCCGCCGCGTCTCTGCCCGTCGATAGATTGCACCACGTAGATTGCTTTGCGTTTCTTTGCGTTGCTTGGCATTGTGTTGCATTGCTTTGCGTTGCTTTGTATTGCTTTGCTTCGCTTTGCATTGCTTTGCATTGCGTTGCTTTGCATTGCTTTGCTTTGCATTGCGCTGCCTGGCTTTGCATTGTGTTGCTTTACGCTGCTTCCAGTTTCTTTGCATTGCGTTGCTTTGCCTTGCTTTGCATTGCGTTGCTTTGCCTTGCTTTGCACTGCGTTGCTCTGCCTTGCTTTGAACTGTATTGCTTTGCTTTGCATTGTTTTGCATTGCGCTTCATATATTGTACCGCATATATGGCACCACATCGATTGCACCACATAGACTGCTCCACATATATTGCCCAACATGTGTTGATTGCATCACATATATGGCACAACATAGATCGCACGACATATATGACACCACGTCGATGGCACAACATAGATCGCATCACATAGGTTGCACCACATAGGTTGCACCGCATATATTGTACAACATATATTGCACCACGTGTGTAGCTCCATATCGATTGCACAACATATGTTGCTAGAGACGCATTTTGTTGGGTCCACGCTGGCTAACATATCTATATATATATATGTATTTGCAGATATGTGGATCGATGTGTAGTACCCCGCAGTTACGTATAAGAATGAGGGGGCGGGCGCGGGGTGAGTCGCGGGTTGGTTGTGGATGGGTCGAGGGGTGGGTCGCGGGTTGGTCGCGGGTGGGTCGCGGGTGAGACGCGGGTGGGTCGCGGGTGGGTCGCGGGTGGGTCGAGAGAGTCGCGGGTGGTCGCGAGTGGGACGACGATAACAACCAACACGAACAAACGAAACCAGGGAACCCCACTTCAGCAACGCACCTAGGGACAGTGAATGACCGTTCGGCCCCCTCACTCTGATTACATAAATATATATACATATGCATATTCACGTGCATGTGCCTGTAATTCTGACCGCGTATGTATACGTATACCTACATGCGCATGTATGTGCGTGTATGAGTTCGTATATGTATATATGTATATGTATACATATATATACTTATATGTATGTATGTGTATGTGTGTGTCTATGCGTGCGGCCACATTTACGCACATGCATGTAATTCCGTATGTAATTAAATGTTTGATCATGTGCATCCACATGTATTTGGATACGCATGTTTTTGGGATGCGTGTGCGCCTGTTTGAGTGCTTACTCTAATTATGTGTTGATCGAGGTCTGCCGCGTGAACAGGTGACGTCGCACTCACGCATGTAGGCGCGTACGTATGCATATATGGGAGCATACACGCGTGTATAATATAAACATTATGGTAGCAGGTGTGGGCTCCAAGTAGTAAGTTATTGCACAGTGGATGTGTAAGCTAAGTGGTGCCAGCCATGTGGTCAAGTAGTGATCAGATAGAGGCGGCGATAGAGGCGGCACGGGCGGCAATGTGGCGAAACCTCGCCGGACCCACCCAACGCACGAGGCGACAACGAAGCGGCAACGGGTGGCAACGTGGCGAACCCTCGCGTGGCAACGAAGCGGCAACAGGCGGCAACGTGGCGAAACATCACCAGACCCACTCAACGCACGAGGCAACAACGTGGCGAAACCTCGCTGGACCCACCCAGCGCACGAGGCGGCAACAAGGCGGCAACGGGCGGCAAGCAAAGTGACAAAACTTTGACGGACTACCCATCGCACGAGGCGGCGAAACCACGACGGACGCGCCCAGCGCACGAGGCGGCAACGAGGCGACAACGGGCGGCAACGTGGCAAATTCTCGCCAGACCCACCGAACGCGCGAGGCGGCAACGAAGCGGCAACGTAGCGAAACCTCGCTGGACCCACCCAGCGCACGAGGTGGCACAGAGGCGGCAACGGGCGGCAACGTGGCATAATCTCGCCAAACCCACCGAATGCACGAGGCGGCAACGAAGCGGCAAAGGGCGGCAACGTCGCGAAACCTCGCCAGACCCACCCAGCGCACGAGGCGTCAATAAGGCGGCAACGGGCGGCAACGTAGCGAAACCTCGCTGGACCCACCCATCGCACGAGGCGGCAACGAGGCGGCAACGGGCGGCAACGTGGCATAATCTCGCCAGACCCACCGAACGCGCGAGGCGGCAACGAAGCGGCAACGGGCGGCAACGTCGTAAAGCCTCGCCGGACCCACCCCAGCGCATGCGGCGGCAACAAGGCGGCAACGGGCGGCAACGTAGCGAAACCTCGCCAGACCCACCCAGCGCACGAGGCGGCAACGGGCGGCAACGTGGCAAAATCTCGCCAGACCCACCCAGCGCACGAGGCGGCAACGGAACGGCCAGGGGCTGTAACATTGCGAAATCTCGCCAGACCCACCCAATGCCTTAGAGAGACAAGTTAGACCCCGTAATTGCAAGCACTGTTTGGGGAATGTGGCAGCCCCCGCATATCAGATTTCAGATCTCGTTTACCACGTGCATCCTGATTGGTTAAACATGTGAAAACCCTCGCAAGCACTGACTCTTGCGCTGCTTAGGTGACGTCTAGGCCATATCCGTGAAGCGTAGTTGCTGGGACGGGACTTCAGTCTGGGTCTTGGGATGCCCACAAACAACAACATTTCTGACATCGGGCGTGGCTGCATGGACGTGTGTAGCACATATGCACGTGTGGTGTTCTCGCGATGCGCTGAAGGAAGAATCCCGACGATGATGACGCAAGTCTACCAGCAGAAGGAGGCCATGGATAGGGACAGAGTCTGGGTGGAACGGAGGGTGCCCTTCTTGCTATGATGGTGCGGCACATTCGTGCCGCGACGACCCAAGCGGTGGCTTCTGACACCGCGTTGATCGCTTGACCTCGAGAGATCGTCGGCTTTTCGATCGCTAGGTCGTTCCATATCGGCCGATCCTGGGCCACTGGCGGCGTTCAACCGTGCACGCCCGCGGCGGGTATCGCCGCCGCGCCGGCACGACGCGAACCTGTCGTACTCGAGATGGCAGCTCGCGCTGTGTGAGTCCTTGCCGTATGCCTCGTTGGAGGCCTGGTACGCCCCCGGCGTCCAGAGGGACTCGTCCTCGTTGCAGCTCTGCAGCTCCTGCCAGATGGCCTTCCAGTGCCTGCAGGGCGCTGGGAGCTCCTCCTCCTCCTCCCCTTCCTTTTTTTCCCTCTTCCTCCTCCTCCTCCTCCTCTGCCTCCTTCTCCGCCTCCTTCTCCTCCTCGAGGTCCTCGAGGATCCTCCTCCTCCTCCTCCCTCGCCTCCAGGGAGGTGAGGATGGAGATTTTTTGGAACGGGTGCGGGCCTTCGCGCGGGTGCGAGTCTGGACGGTCAGCGCTTACTTACTGCTCACGCCGCAGGTGTGCGCGGCGGTCGGTGGCGTGACGGGGAGGGGTAACGGGGTGAGCAGGGAGGAAGGGGGCGGGCGTGTGGGGGAGAAGCAGGAGACGGCGATGGGGAGGGGGTGGAGTGGGGGGAACTGTTGGCGGTGAACCGTCAGAACGTCGCTGTCGACCAGCGGGATTGGCACAGGTGGCGCGATGTTTTTTGGTCACCTTGAGCAGCGGCGCGTTCAGATATGCTGTCGGTACTCGCCTTAATGAGCACCTTGTGTGCCTGTCTTGCGATCTCCAAGTAATTCGTAGAAGCTACTTTGGGTCGGGTGTACTTTATTTTTCTTCTTCTTCTTCCTCCTCCTCCTCCTCATCCTCGTCCTGCTCATCCTCACTTCTCCACTGTTTTCTCCTCCTCCTCCTCATCATCATCGTCATCATCATCATCACCATCACCATCACCATCACCACAATCACCACCATCACCACCGTCACCACCGTCACCACCATCACCACCATCACCATCACCATCACCCTCACCATCATCATCACCATCACCATCACCATCATCACCATCACCATCACCATCACCATCACCATCACCATCACCATCACCATCACCATCACCATCACCACCATCACCACCATCACCACCATCACCACCATCACCATCATCACCACCATCACCATCACCATCATCATCATCACCACCATCATCATCATCATCATCATCATCATCATCATCACCATCATCATCATCATCATCATCATCATCATCATCATCATCATCATCATCATCATCATCATCATCATCATCATCCATCATCATCATCATCATCACATCATCATCCTATCACCATCACCATCACCATCACCATCACCATCACCATCACCATCACCATCACCATCACCATCACCATCACCATCACCATCCTCCTCCTCCTCCTCCTCCTCCTCCTTCTCCTCCTCCTCCCCCTCTTGGTCCTCCCCTTCCTCCTCCTTGGCCTCCTCCTCCTCCTCCTCCTCCTTCTCCTCCTCCTTCTCCGTTCCGTCTCCTCTTCTTTCTCCTTGTCCCCCTCCCTGCTCCTCCTCCCTGCTCATCCTTCTCGCCCCCACCCCTTCCTGCTCGATCCCCCTCCCCTCGTCCCCGCTGCGCTTCCCCCCCCCGCGCCTGCCCAGCCCCCTGCTCCTCCTACTCCCGCCCTCCTGACTCCCCCTTTGAGATCCTCAGGCCCCCGGTGCCGTGCTTACTCGTCTTCACCGCGCGCGCCCCTCCCCCCCCCGGGACCGCTCGACCCCTCCTGGATCGGGGGCTTTCGTCGGCTAGGCTATCCGCAGGAGTGACCCCAGGCAAGATCGGCGGCGCGCGGAGGAGGGTTATGGGGGACGGGGGGAGGCTTCTTAGGAGGAGGCGTCTGCTCGGAAGAGCGCGGGCCCTGCATCTCTAGACAAGGCCCGCGCCTTTTGAGAAGCAGGGGCGCTTCTAAGAAGCATACCCCCCTCCCCCATACCCCCCTTCTGCGCGTGGCCGATACGAGTGACCTGTGGTGCGCGCTCCTTAGGGGGCCGCGGGGCCGGGGCCCGATCCGCGCGCCAATGCCGGGGAGCCCCGCGTGAGCCAGCACCAAAGGTCACTCCGGGCGGAGAGTCACTCGGGTCGTCTCGTGACGTCCCCCTGGCCTGAAACGGGGCCTGCCAGGGCTCCAGGCTCTGGAACAACTGGCCGTCGTCAACCTTTCGCGACGCACAGAGGCCTGGGCCCGACCTCCTTCCCCGTTTCAAGACGACCCCCACACGTGTCCTGGAGTGCGTTCCGGCGAGAATTTCGGGGCCGTCCGTGGCGACAAGGATCCCTCTGGCAGCCCCCCCCCGGAAGCCAGAACGCGTCAACGTGCTGCCCCCCCCTGCTTCCTCCATGCTCCTCTCTGTCGCCGCCTCTCCAGGTGCGCGCACCAAGGATGCGCCCCAGTGTCGTGGAACGGCAGTGCCGGCTCCAGCCCGGAGATGTAACCAGGGGCGTACCTGCCGGCGGATGCAGCGAGGCGCTGGCTCGCGCCTGCGACTCGCTGCGCGCGCGTCTGCGGACGGTCGCGTCTGCGCGCACGGGGCGCTACGCACGCGTGCGCGTGCACAGCTTGGCTTCAGGGACCCTTCCTCCTTCTCATCCTCGTCATCGTCCGCGTCGTCGCCGTCGTCGTCGTCGTCGTCCTCCTCCTCCGTCCTCCGTCCTCCGTCCTCCCTCCTCCTCCTCCTCCTCCTCCTCCTCCTCCTCCTCCTCCTCCTCCTCCTCCTCCTCCTCCCCTCCTCCCTCCTCCTCCTCCTCCTCCTCCTCCTCCTCCTCCTCCTCCCCCTCCTCCTCCTCCTCCTCCTCCTCTTCCTCCTCCTCCTTCTCCTCCTCCTCCTCTTCCTCCTCCTCGTCCTCCTCTTCCTGCCCGCCCCCCCCGCTAGTCCATTTCGGAATCGATCTGTGTACCCCTCTTGGGTTAAGCGTCCTGCCGTGGCAGCGAAGTTACCCCCCGAAAACCAAGAGGAGGAGGAGGAGGAGGAGGAGGAGGAGGAGGAGGAGGAGGAAAAACGAGGAGGAGGATGAGGAGGAGGAGAAGGAGGAGGAGGTTCAGGAGGAGGAGGATGAGGATGAGGATGATGATGATGATGATGAGGAGGAGGAGGAGGAGGAGAAGGATCAGGGGGCGGAGGAGGATGACCAGTGTAAGCCCGAGAGTCATCAACGATGTTGGAATAAACCCCCACTTTTTAAGCCCTTTACGAAGATTCATTTCCAATGACGGAACTGCCTCGTTGGAAAACAACCGTTTGAAGACCCTGAGGCATGCCAGAAGCATCATTCTCGGGACTCCAACGCTACGGATCAACCTGACTGTTGGCTCTTGGGAGGAGGAGAAGGAGGAGGTGGAGGAGGAGGAGGAGGATGAGGAGCCCCCGAGGCCCCCAGAGGCCCAGGAAGGGAACCAAACGCCCCCAGAACCTGAATCCGCGACCCTCTTGGAATGGCAGGGGCGACTTGTAGCAGACGGACACGCCCAGCGACTCCCCATCTCCCTGCACAGGGAGAGCGCGCGGGCGGTGTTGCGGCGACTTCAGATCCAGTCTGGAGGGGCGGGGGTTGCTGCGGCCCGCTTGACCTCTGTCGCAGCTGCGTCCACGGCTGACGCCGTGTGAGCCGCCACGCTGGTGCAGCCTAGCGCCCCCCGCCCTCCCCCCCCACCCTGGCTGGGCAGCGCGGGCGCCCCCCCCGCGCCCCTCCGTGGGTGGCGTGCTGGCGCCCCCCACACTGCTGGCCGTCCCTTCCCCGGCGGGGCGGTGGGTGATACCGCAAAAGGTTCCCTCCCCACCAAGCCGCAGCGTGCTGGTTTCGGCCGGCACCCCACGCCCTTCCTGACGCCCTTCCCGACGCCCTTCCTGACGCCCACAACGATCCCGACGACCACGACGTTCTTTCCGACGCCCACAACGACCCCGACGCCCTTCCCGATGCCCACAACGATGCCGACGCCCTTCCTCACGCCCACAACGGTTCCTGACGCCCATCACGACTGCTTCTTGTCGCCGCCGTAGGGTCCGTACTTTCGTCGCGGGCGGCCCTTCCTTCCTGGCCCCTGGCCCGGCCCTTTTGCTGCCCCTCCTCCTCCTTCTCTCGTCCTCTTCCTCCTCCCCTCCCTGCTTGCTGCCCCGTCTCCGCCCCTGCCCGCCTGCCTGCTTGCCTCGTCCCGCTGGCCCTAGCCTCCCGCCTGCGCGTTCGTCTTCGTTTGCTCGTCCCTCCTTTCCTCCCTCTCTCTGCGTTCCGTCCGAGCCGCCGGCGCAGGGCCAGCGCCCCGGAGGCTCGCCGCAGGACCTGCCGGTAGGGCTCCCCTCAGGCGGGGGACGGCCTGAAACCAGCACTTTCACACATGATCGAGCCATGAGCGGGCCCCAGCCCATAGCACCAGTCTTTCTAGGCCCGCCCCGCCATGCATTTAGGTGCGCCTTAGTGTTCCTTGCCTGGGAATTAGAACCCAGCGTTCATCAGGGCCGGGATGAGGTGCCAGCGGAGGAGTGCGCAGAGGAGTTGTCTTGCTTCGGTGCGAGCCTGATCTCACGATCCCACAGACTCGGCGCGAGTGACCCAGGATCTCTCGAGAACCCCCAGAAGCGCGCGGCGACCTCCGAAACGAAGACGACGACGTCGACGACGCTGCCGTCGACTTCTGCGCCCCTTTGTTTGCGCCGCTCGCGCGGTCTCGCCAACTCGCCAGCATCCCTGCCCCGCTCCCGCGCGACCAAACGCTCCCGCCCCCCGCCCCCAAGCGCGATGTGCGCTCCAGCCAGAACCTTCGCGGACCCAGGCCGCGGCCATCGGGGCGCCCACAGGAGCTCCAGGAGGCCCTCTGGCGATTGTCGACCCTGGCTCTGGTTTCTGACACCGCGTGCGTCGTCGATCGGCGGCTTTTCGATCGCATCGTTCCATCTTTCCATATTGTCCGATTCTTGGCCGCTGAAGGTGGTCAAATTTGAACGTCCGCGCTAGGGTCGCTGTCGCGTCGACGCGACACTACAGGAACCTACCGGAATTACCCAGACATCCGAAGATCAGTTTTTTTCATTTCGCGGCCCGAGAGTTCCCGACCCCTTCCTCAGGGCACATTTTTCGTCACAGATCCATGTTTGATGCTCCCAGGGCCCAACTACGGCCCCAAGAAACGGACATCGAGGGAAACACGCCAAGATTGTCCAAACAATATCGTCGGATATCTGGGCAAACGTCTGGAAACCTCGGCCCGTTCCTCACAACGTGGATCCCCCCTCCGGGTAGACGTCGTGACTTCTTCACAACGTCGACCCGCAGAAATCTCACTCCCTGCCCAGGAACCCGATTTTCATCCCGATCATCCCGAGCCATTCTTTAACGGTCGTGGGTCCTGGGGCGGAGATACGGCGGCCAAAAACGGCCCCAAACCTTTCGTCCTTTTTGGCGACGCGGGCATGTCTGGGAACATACCGAAAACGCCCGTAATGATCACCCCCAAGGACACACAAGTACATGTACACAAACCTCAGGATTCTCCTCCTTTCCTATCTTTTCTAAACTTTCGTCTTCCCCCTCGCCTCCCATATGTTTCAGATTTTCTGGGGAATCGGCGTTTTTTTTTTTTTTTTTTTTTTTTTTTTTTTTTTTTTTTTTTTTTTTTTTTGTTTTTTTCTTGTTTTTCTCCCTCTGGACGTAGCTCGACGGCGGCAGCGGCGATGGGGGTGGCCCGGGCCCTCCTGGCGAGGCTGGCCGGGCCGCTCGCCGTCGCACGAGGCGCTCAGCCATGAACGCCCGCGCTGCATGGGGTCGCCGCCGCGTCGACGCGACACGCGGACCCCCCCGGAGGTCTCTACCCCGAGTTTCTCAATAAGCGTCGGGGGGGCCGTCACCCCCGCCGACAGCCCCACATCGACACCCGTCGCGGGCAGCCACCGCGCGCCGAAGGCGCTCCGACCCCCGTTGCGGCGCGACGACGAAGCGGGGTTGAACCCCGTCGGGGGGTACCCCCCCACGCCTATGAATAAACCCAGAGTAGCCCTTGAAGGCGAAGCGAGGACGAGGATGAAGCATCGGGCGAGGATGCATCGAGAGCCTCTGAGATCCGGCGGCTCTGGAGGATGTCTCGGGCGCCGCGGCATTCAGAGCGGTCCAGAACGCTCCGAGAGCGTTCCGGAACGCTCTGGAACGGACTTGTCCTCGTCGTAGCCCCCGCCAGCAGGGCCAGGCCTTCGTCCCGGCTCGTGGCCGGGCGGAGGCCCCATGGAGGCCGACGGCGGCCATGAGCCTGACGAATGCTCTCGCGGCGAGGGGCCTGCCGCAAACGCCTGCGGAGCAGGGACGCACTGGCCCGGGCCAGCGCCCACCCGAAACGGCCAGGGCCACGCCGCGAACCCAGGTCGGCCACGAAGTAGTCCCCAAACCCGGGTCGGCGGAGGGCGGGGGAGCAGGTCGGCTCCAGGTGGCTCCCACACCCGAGTCAGCAAGAAGATCTCGGAGGGGATTGGCTGATCCCCGTTACGCGAGCCCCGACTGTTGACCGTCCTGCGGATGAGCGACGAAAGAACTGGGTCTTACGCGACATGACGTAGCGACCTTACGAGGTGGCTTACGCGGGCTGCCAGCGCGGCATGCTGCATTGGAGACGAGGGCACTTACGCGCGACCTTGCGCGGGCAGCTTGCGCACGAATGTCGGCGCAATCGTCCCCGTTTTCTTACGTCGCTCGTCAGGGGCCCAGCGAGGGCACCTTTCGTTCACGACACTAGCGCGTTCGTTTTCTTACGTCGCTCATATGGGGCCCGGCGAAGGCCCCCGGAGTCCGAAACCTGCAAAAAAGCCTCCCGTCGGGATTACGTGCGCGAGGCTAGCACGCCTGGGTCCGCATCGCCTCTGCGCCGCTTGCACCCCGCGCCCTGCGCGAGGCCCCAACGCGCCCCAGGCGCGGGTGTACCTCGGCGCCCTCGTGAGGGAGGAGAGGGAGGAGGGAGGAGGGAGGGAGAGAGGATGGGAAAAAGCACGAGGAGGAGGAGGAGGAGGAGGAGGAGGAGGAGGAGGAGGAGGAGGAGGAGGAAGAAGAGGAGGAGGAGGAGAGAGGAGAGAAGGAAGAGGAGGAAGGCGGAGGAGGAGCGGAGGAGGAGGAGGAGGAGGAGGAGGAGGAGGAGGGAGGAGGAGGAGAGGAGGACGAGGAGGATGATGGGGAGGATGATGATGATGAGGAGGGGGAGGAGGAGGAGAAGGATGATACGGGCGTGTGTAATTACCTTGGCGCCCTCGGTGCTGACACGCGATACGTGAGCCCTGAGGAGACCTCGGCCCCCAACCTCCATGAGCGGCAACAACGACGGCGGCGGCCCTTCCGGCTTAGGGGCTGGCCGGGGGGCGCTCACCGTCTGCCACCGGGCCCCTCGTCCTCGAAGATCGCGTTGCGGCCCACTCGCTGGGCGGAGGAGGCCCAGAACTCCTCTCCCCCTCCGACCTCCTCCTCCCGCCTCCTCCTCCTCCTCCTCCTCCTCCAACTTCTCCTCCTCCACCTTCTCCTCCTCCAACTTCTCCTCCTCCTCCTCGTCCTCCTCCTCCTCGTCCTCCTCCTCCTCGTCGTCCTCCTCCTCCTGCTCCTCCTCCTCTCGCTCCTCCTCCCTCCCCTCCTTCTCCTCCTCCTCCTCCTCCTCCTTCTCCTCCTCTCCCTCGTCCCCCTTTCTCCTCCTCTTCCTTCTCGTCCTCCTCCTCCTCCTCCTCCTCCTCCTCCTCCTCCTCTTGTCTTCCTCCTCCTCCTCCTCTCCTCCTCCTCCTCCTCCTCCTCCTCCTCCTCCTCTCTGTAGTTCCTCCTACTCCTTCCTCTCTTCCTCCTCCTCCTCCTTCTCCTCGTCCTCCTCCTCCGTTCACCTCCTCCTCTTCCTCCTCCTCCTCCTCCTCCTCCTCCTCCCTGGGCAGGGCCAGTACAGAGAGAGAGGAGGGAGGGAGGAAGGGCTGCGGAAGAAATGGGAGGAGGAACGAAGAAGGGAAGAACTAGAGGTGACGGAAGGACGCCTTTGAGCTGCACCCAGTGGCATGCGCAAACGGATTCACCCAGCACCGTGGCCGATTCGAGCGGAAGCGAAACTGCGCAATGGCGTGAAAAGCTGCTCGACAAACAACGGGAGGAACAACGCGGCACGGAGACGAGCCAGCGAGTACTCACACCTGAAAATGGGTGTACATGTATACGTATGTAAGAAGTATATATATATATATAAATTGTGTAAGCATCTAGGGCATACCCGGCACATCCATATCTACGAGAGAGCGTGATCCACCGCCGCTTTACTGTGGAAAATTGCCAACCTTTTCCTCCGGAGCCCAGGGGTCGCCCCCCCCCCCCCCTCCGAAAATCCCCCCCCCCCCCCCCCCCCCCCCCCTGCTGGAACCCCTCCTCCCCCCCCCCTCTCCCGGCAAAACCCCCCCCCCTCCCCCTAACCCCTCCCCCCCCCCCCACCCCCCCTCCCCCCGAAAACCGGGGGTGGTCACTACCGTTCGACCCCTCCCCCCCCCCCCCTCCGGATCCGGAAAACCGGGAGGGGTCACTACCGGTTCGAACCCCTCCCCCCCCCCCCCTCCGTCCTGGGAAAACCGGGGGGGCTCACTACCGGTTCGAACCCCCCCCCCCCCCTCGAAAACCGGAGGGGGTCACTACCGGTTCGACCCCCCCCCCCACGCACCGCCAGCAAACGACTCCCGGTCCCTACCACCGTCCGTCGCATCACATCCCCCACTGTGTTCCCAGCACCACTGTCCTCACCACCACTGTCCCCACTGGTTCCACCACCGCCCCTACTGTCCCCACCAGTGCCCCCACCACTGTCGCACTGTCCCCACTGTCCCCAGAACTGTTCCCACCACGGTTCCACTCTCCCCACTGTCTCCACGGCCCCAACCACTGCCCGACTATCCCCACTGTCCCCACTGTCCCACTGACTCCTCCGCTGTCCCACTGAGCTGTCCCACTGTTCCCACCACTGTCCCCACTGTCCCCACCACTGTCCCCACTGTACCTCTGTCCCATTGTCCCACCGCCGTCCTCGCCACCGCCTTCACCACTGTCCCCACCACCATTGTACCCTCCACTGTCCCACTGTTTCCACCTCATTCCCACTGTCCCCACACCACTGTCCCCACCACCACCGTCCCCACCACTGTCCAGTGTCCCCCCTGTTCCCACCATTCCCCGCCACTGTCCCCACCACTACCGTCCCCACCACTGTCCCACTGTCCCACTGTCCCCACCAGTGTCCCGCTGTCCCCTCACCACTGTCCCCACCAACACCGTCCCCACCACTGTCCGCACCCCCACTCGGTTTCCGAGGGGGGGGGGGTTCGAACCGGTAGTGACCCCCCCCAGTTTTCGAGGGGGGGGGGGGGGGGGTTCGAACCGGTAGTGACCCCCCCCTTTTCATAATGAACTGGGGGGAGGGGGAGGGGTTCGAACCGGTAGTGACCCCCCCCGGTTTTCCGGAGGGGGGGGGAGGGGGGAGGGGTTCGAACCGGTAGTGACCCCCCCCGGTTTTCCGCCAGCAGCGGTAGAACACGCTCTTTCATATCTACGAACCAAGAATAGCATGTGTATGTGTGCATATATATATATATATATATAGACGCACATACTTACTTGGGCACGTACAGGTCTACATACACATGCATGTTTGCCAACGTGGGCCCCAAACCAGTGGGCAATTGCAGTATGGCTGTGTCGCCAGCGAAGTGTAATGCGTATCTGGTGCAGCCTGTGGTTGGCAACTTCTTCGGTGCAGTCTATACGATGCAATCGACGTGGCGCAAACCATGTGGTGCAGTACATGGGGCTTAATCTTTGTGGTGCGATCTTCTTGGGCAACCTATGAATCTACGGGGTCCAATCAATGTGGTACCAATGATTGTGACGACCTGGACGTCGTCAACTCCCCTGTTCGCGCAACCATCCCGCTCTCCCACCCGCAACTTGTTTGGCAACACCCATGCGGCCACGATTGCGATTACCGTCGACGCTTGCTAGCGCATCTCAACGGCCGCGCTGGCCTGGCGAGCGCAAGCTCGCGCGCAAGCGACTAACTGGTTTGGCACAGCTGATGCGGCCGCGATGGCGCTCACCAATGGGAACTTCCCAGCGCGCTGGCGCGCGGCCACTTCAGTGCTGGTCGGTGACTCGGGCGACAGCGATATCATGACGTCGGCAACGGGGGCAACGATGATGACAGCAGCGATGGTGGTGGCCCTGATGGCGATGACGACGGCATGACCAATGACGGCGCCGATGCTGGTAACGACGACGACGATGACTCGATGACGATGATGACGTCCATTTGTTGGTTGTGAAGGTTGTTGTGCCGATGATGGAGGCAATGGCGGCGATTGACGATGGCGATCGCGGCGGTGATGTGGTGGCTCTGGTGTGAGTGATGGGGAAGTGCGCGCGCGCACTTGAACATAATATCTCAATGCTTGTTAATGTTAATGTACTCGCATCACTCAGGTGTTTGGTCTGATCCCAACATGTGCGCACGCGTGTTGATTGTCTCAATGGATTATTGATCAATGATTTTGTGAGATAACCAGATGCGCGCGGATTGTATTATTTGACAGGGGTGGCGGGGGGGTCGATAACGATCCTCCTCGTATGGCAGGGCTTCACATGGAAGCGAACGATGAATCATAACCATATGTACAGTCAAGCCGTATATTAAGGACGCGCGACAAGGATGTAAGGGCCTTGGAGGGCCATCGTAACGTTTTTCGGACGAGGTTGGCCTGCGAAACTCGCTGAGGCTGGGCCCCAGGGGCAAGGATGCAAGGGTAGCCTTGGAAAGTTTCCCATCCTTCCTTTGCGGGTGGGCTGGAGATTGCAGTGCCCCGAAGTGGGAGGGGGGAGAAGTCTGGGGGGGGAGGGTGGCAGAGCCCACGCTTCCCTTGCCGGGAGAATCGGTGCGGCAACAGCCCAGCGCACGTGGCGGCGACGGGCGGCCGACCGAGCGAAAGCCCTGCCCACTGGGCCAGCGCACGAGGCGGCGACGGGGTGGCGGCGGGGCGGCGGCCACTGGCCGACCACCCGGGCACGCCTGGCCAACGCACGAGGCGGCGACGACGCGGCGACGGGTGGACGCCTGGAGCGCCGAGCTCATTACCTGGAGACAGTTGTACGAAATTCTTAGTGCGAGCGCCACAGGGAGTAGGAGAGAGAGAGAGAGAGAGAGATTGAAAGAGGGGGAGGGATATATATATATATATAGAGAGAGAGAGAGAGAGAGAGAGAGAGAGAGAGAGAGAGAGAGAAAAAAAAAAAAGAGAGAGAGAGAAAGAGAGAGAGAGAGCCACCCCAGCTACCAGTCCGTAGAGCGCGCAGAGGTGACTGAAGCAGAGGGGTCCTCCTATCCTCTGGAGGTTTCTGGACGTCTCCTTATGTCTCTGGGAGTCTCTGGAGGCCTCCAGAGGTCCCAAACAGAGGCCGAACATGTCCAGCACTGACCAACAATCTAGATGACCCTTCTCCTCATCATCGGTCTTCCACCCTCCAGCCTTCTACTCATTCTCCCCAGCTCGGTTCAAACAAGCTTGCAGAGTTCTGTTTGGCCGAGCTCCAGAGACAATTACCATCTTGCGCGCGTCATGGCAGACAGGCAGCAAGCAGGCCCGGGCCAAATGAGGTGGCCCACTGCCTTGGCGGCGTGCGCGACCATCTGAGCAGATACGGCCTCTGCCCAACCGTCGACATGGGCCGCTCCGGAAGCCCTGGACCAAAAACTGTTGTCATTTCTTGGCAAGCAGATTTCGACCTCCGCCGGCTTCCGCGGGCGGGGCCGCCCCTGCTTCACACTTCTGCCGCCTCCCGTGGGCCTTCCGCCGAGGGAGAGACGTCGACTCCTTCGATCCTCGAAGGCGAAGCCCTTCCTGAAACTGCCCACGCAGCGGGCAAGCTCGCCAAGCACGGGCGCGCGCGCGCGCACGGGAACGAACGCTCGACGTGGGCGGTGCTCTGGGCGGCGAGGGTTTTTTAGGCCCTTCTGGGGCCTCCTAAACTGGCCGACATCGGCGCGTTCCCCCGAGCTGACCTTGGGCGTTGCTCTCATGGGGAGGCGATAACATGGAGGGGGATGGGGCCGTGGACCCTTCAGCGCCCCAGAGGGCCTCCTTGTGGACCCCAATGTGCGCAAAGGGTGTGCCTTTATTTCCCCCGCCATGTATCGCCCCACCTCCATTACGCAACGCCTGACGACCTCTCATCCCCAGTTGCCGTGGACAGCGGCCGGTGCTGCAGCCGGTGCCCATCTGTAGTCCTCGGACGTCCTCTTGGTCCCGCTGCTGCTCCTCCTCCTCTGGCTGTTGCATCTGTTCCTCCTTTAGCTCCCGCTGTCCCCTCTCCTCCTCCTCCTCCTCCTCCTCTTCCTCCTCCTCCTCCTGCTCTTCGCCCTCCCGGCCTCCACGAACCCGTCGGAAACCCAAGAACCCACTGAAACCGCCCAAGACGAAACAGCACAACACCCCCGTCGCTTCTCCTCCTCCTTCTTCTGCTCTCCGTCCTCCCCCTCCCTCGTCGGCATCCTCTTCCTCTCCTTCTCCTCTCTCTCGCACCGCTTCCCATCGTTCCCACAGCCGCGCCACCCCCCTCGCGCGCGCGCGGGGCGCCACGGCAGGAGGCGCGGAGGTCTCCCCGGACCACCGGGGGACCCGCTTTTTATTTCCGGAGGGCGAAGGAGGGGGATGAGGCCGCCGATCCTTCCTGCCCAGCCCGAGGGAGGTCGAACAGGACGAGAGAGGGGAGGCCGCTCAGATCATCGTGAAGCTAATGCTGACGGCGGATATTGTCGGTAGCGCTCTGCTCGGGATATAACTTGTCGGTGGCGCTGAGGTCGAAGTACGAAGGTAACAGCGCGCTGGTAGTACAACATCAGTCGCGCTATTAGCACATGGCGTCGAAGCCTGTGGTTATCCGTAGTTTGCGGCTTCACGTAAGATGGTCTCGCCGTGACTACTGCGCCATCCGATCGCAAATACACTGCATCAAACGAAATGTCATCATGGCACACATGGAGGAAACTTTGGCAATCCCTGGCTGGCCTTCGGAGGCTGCGAGGTCGTATAAGCGCTCGGACACGTAGTCATTTTGCTTCACGTCGTGCTGCTGGTAGATTCGAACCGTCTGTTGGTACATAATGGCGAAGCGCTTCTTCGGGTGTGTCGACAAGCTCGACGTCGGTATGGCGCTCTCGACACTGATACCCACCGATCCCAATCATTTTGCCCACCGCTCGGTAGTGGTATCCCGCGCGCCCGGGGTACCCTCGAGGCTGTTGTGGCCATTGTACCTCGAGCCCGATCTTTCGGGCAGGCGCCCCTTGTCGTAGTCCTGCCTGTTCAGGTGCACCAGCTAATTCTGGTTGCCTGGCTAGTTCCAGTTCCGCTTGTGGCTCTCGTATTTCAGGTGGTTGCCCTCGTCGCTCGGTTGGTGGTCCTCGTAACTCTGCCAGTGGTTTTCGTAGTTCAGCTCGGGGCCCTCGAAGCTCTGTTCGCGGCCCTCGTAGCTCAGCCTGTTACCCTCGTGGCTCAGCAGGGGGCCCTCGTAGCTCTGCTGGTTGTTCTCGGAACTGTGTTTGTTTCCTTTGCAATTCAGCTCGTCGCACTGGTAGCTCTGCAGGCGGCTCTCGTGGCTCTGCTGGTGGCAAGCGTAGCTCAGCTTGTTGCCCTCGTAGCTCGGCTGGTGGTCCTCGCAGCCCTGCGTGTCGCCCTGATAGCTCAGCGCGTGGTCCTGGTAGCTCAGCCAAGTGGCACTCGTGGCTCTGCTGGTGGCCCTCGTAGCTCAGCAGGTGGCCCTCGCAGTGCAGCCGGTGGCCCTCGTAGCGCTGCTGGAAGCTCTGGGCGCTTAGGAGGTAGGTCGCCCTGGACGCTCTGCTGTGGCTCCAGTAGCTCTGCTTGCGGTCCCCGTAGCTCAGCTCGTGGCCTGCTTGGCTCAACTGTTTGCACTTGTAGCTCTGCCTGTGGCCCTCGAGGCTCCGCTGGTAACTCTCGTAGCTCAGCTGGTGGCCCTCGAAGCTCTGCTCGCCGCCCTCGTAGCTCAGCTTGTTGCTGTCGTTGCTCTGCCTGTGGCCCGCGCAGCTCTGGTTGTGGCCCTCGTAGCTTGGCTGGTGTCCTCATAGACCTACTTGTAGACCTCGTAACTCAGCGCGTGGTTCTGGTAGTTCAGCCCGTGGCCCTCGTAGCTCTGTTCGTAGCCGTCGTAGCTCAGCGGGCGACCCTCAACGTTCAGCCGGTGGGTCTTGAGGCTCTACATACTGCCGTCGAAGCTCTGCTGGTGACCCTCGAGGCTCAGTTGGTGCTGCTCGAAGCTCTGCTTTTTGCCGTCGAAGCTCTGCTGGTGGCCCTCGAGGTGCAGTCGAAGCTCTGCCAGGTGCCCCCCTAGCTCAGCTGGTGGCTTTCGGAGCTCTGTTGGCGGTCTTGGTGGCTCTGCCTGCGGTCCTCGCAGCCGTGCTTCTTGCAGTCGAAGCTCTGTTGGTGGCCCTCGTAGCTCTGCTGGTGGACCTCGAAAAACCGCTGTTTGCCCGCGAACTTCTGGCACGTTGGGCGGCAGGGTGAACAAAAACCGTCTGCGGTGTAGTCGTCGTAGCCGCTGTGCTCGCCGTGGCCGTTGTAGGCGTCGCAGGTCGTCATCGTCGCAGGCGGCGCAGTCGTAGTTCGCCGGCACCTCCGCGACGATGTGCTTGGTCACCCCCGCGAGCTGTTCGTTTGTAATTGTTGCAGTTGCTGTAGTACGCGTCGTTCATTTCTAACCGTGCTCATTTCTGATTGTGCTTGTTTCTAATTGCTCCTGGCTCCCTAGTGGCCAGGAAGAGACCCAGGATAGAACAATTAGAAATGAAAAGATCTTGGCCCCTCAAAAACCAAAGACCTTTCGAATAATCAAGGGTGAACCGTGTGTACGTTTTGACGTCGTTCTGGATTGCGCGTTTCGTCACCACGTTGACGCCCTTGTGAGTGGTGTGGCCGCCTGCCCGCGCAGCGTAGCCCAGAGTCTCCGCGCTGCGGCGCGTGCTGCCGTCGGCCTCCAGCGGCTGGGTGTGGTCTCGCAGCCCTTCTCGTCGCAGGTTCCTGGCGCCCCCGGCCTCCGCTCCGCCACCGCGCGGCAGCAGGCCGCGCGGGCGCTGCCCTGAGTTCCCGAGTGCGGGGGATGGATCCCGCATATGGCCTTTTTCCTCCTCCTCCTCCTCATCCTCCTCTTCCCTTCTCCCACTGCCTCTCCCTCTCCCTCTCCCCTTCCCCCTCCTCCTGCTCCGCCTCCCTCTCGAACAACATGCCGAAACACGAGCCCTCCTCCTCATCCCTCTTCCCCTGATGGCGTCCGGGTGATGGCCGCGCACCCTCCGCGTACTGTTTTTTTCACACAGGATGCCCGGGAAATCCCGGGAAACGACTCTCGCTGAGGCGCCGGCGTCATTTTTTCCCCAAATGCTGCTCTCGTTGAGGCGCCGGCCTCATTTCTGCTCCCGAATCGTTCCGAATCGTGCTCCCGCTGCAGCGTGGGCCTCATTTTCGGATCGGTGTTTGGCCTCCGTCGTTCAGGATGGCGTTCTCGCCCCAGCGCGGGCCTTTTTCTCGCGCGCCCATCCGCCCGCCACCACCGCGCCGCACCGCCACCACCACCACCACCACCACCACCACCACCACCACCACCACCACCACCACCACCACCACCACCACCACCACCACCACAACCACAACCACAGCCAGCACCAGCACCAGTACCACCACCACCACCACCACCAGCACCACCACCACCACCATCACCACCACCACCACCACCACCACCACTACCACCACCACCACCACGACAACCACGCACACACGCACGCACGCACGCACGTGCATCACCATCCACTACGCACGCGTGCGCGGAGCCACAGGTCCGCTACGACACGCGTCCGCGGATAGAGAAAATCAGCGCCATGGTAAGGGATGGGAGGGAGGGGTAGGATGTCAGATATGACGCGAGCGCACCTAGCTTGTCTGCTTATCCCCTCCCTCGCCTCCTCTTACGTGCCCTCAAACCTTCTCCATGGCTCCATGCGTATTCGGGAGGGCCAGAAAGCGGAACGTGTTGCCGCGGGAGACAAATCCCAATGTAATCCTTGCCAGAGCCGCTGATTTCGCCCCCCCCCCCCCCCCCTCTCGCGACGCTGCGGCAAGAGAGAAGCCACTGAAAGCTGTGCCAAGACCAGCGAACATCTGGAAACGACCGCCTCGTACATCTGCACCACCCTATCAATGCGATCGCTGGCGCCAGCACCGAACTCGTGGTCCACGATCTTCTTCAAGCCTGTCGGGTGCACATCGACACACGAGGGAGATGATTCATCGGCATCGGCAGCTCCGAACCTCTGGCGCAAGTGTTCTGAATGTTCTCCATCACGACAAGGCCCCCCTCAGGAGCTCTCGACCTCATCCTTAGGGCCGGCCTTTCGCCGCGAACCCCTATATGTTCTGCGGGCCCCTTTTCTGCACCCGCCCAAAGCGAGTCTTGTGGGCGAATCCGACTTTCATTCGCAAGTCGTTCGCGTCCGAGGAGAATCGGCCCGCGACTGCAATGCTTCCATCATGGCGCCTAGCCAAGACTATACCCGTGAGCATTATCAATGAATGACACAGAACAGCCTCGACCAAGAACATTCCTCCTCCCCAGACATCCGACGTCGTGTTCTATTCGCAACGGGACCCCCCAGAGGTCTGGATTCCTTCCTCAGGACCGTTTATCCCCGAGTTGTTTTTTGACTGCCTCTAGGCCCAGTGCTCCAAAGGCCGAAAATGGGCGAAAACCTGCTGTCGTGATCTCTTCACATCGATCGGGGGGACGTAAGACTCGCGTTCGGGGGACTCGGGTTGGCCTGACGTGGTCATCATGAAAATAACGAGACTGAACCTGAAACTAAAAGCGAGCTCCCGCTGCAAACATCCCACGACAACCGGACCGGCAGCACCCACGACGCGCCCGCCAAAGCAGCGTCGGCAAACCCGAGCTCCGGCGTACTCGAGTTGTCCTCCGGATGCCATAATAACCGACCCCCCCCCCCCTGGGATCGAGTGGGGGGGGGATGGGCGCGTGCCGTCGGGAGGTGATCGGGAGGGATGGCAGTTGTGAGACTCAAGTTCCAGGGGCAGGTAAGGGGGGGGGGGAGGGGGGAATGTGAACGCGCGTTGAGGGGCGGTGGGGGGGTGATGGGGGGCGCTCTGTCGGAAGGTTAAGTCGGCCCCCCGATTTTTGTGCCATTCAGAATGCGTTTCCCAGAAACGAGAGGAGGTGGGTGCAGCGCTATCCTCAGGAGGCAGCCAAGGACATCCGCCGAAAAGCGCGGGAAAAACCGCCTCGGTGATGCCGCACTCGAGGCCCAGAGCAGGGCGGCAGGGCAGGGCATCTGCTGGAGGCCCCTCCTTGAGTGCAGAGGGTGATGATGATGATGATGATGATGATGATGATGATGATGATGATGATGATGATGATGATGATGATGATGATGATGATGATGATGATGATGATGATAAGGAGGAGGAGGAGGAGGAGGAGGAGGAGGAGGAAGAGGAGGAGGAGGAGGAGGAGGTACTACAAGGTAGCATGAGACACGATACGATACGATACGATACCATACGATAGGAAACGATACGATCAGTTACGATGATCTGAACTGATATAAGATAATCTGGTTTCAGACACACTTGCGACCCAAGCCTGCATGACCCTCTCTCAACAGAAGGAAAGAGCGGCAGGATGAGGAGTAGGAGGAGTAGGAGTAGGAGTAGGAGTAGGAGTAGGAGTAGGAGTAGGAGTAGGAGTAGGAGGAGGAGGAGGAGGAGGAGGAGGAGGAAGAGGAGGCACGAGGAGGGGGATCTGGGAGTAGAGGAAGAGAGGAGGACGAGGATGCGGAGGAGGAGCAGGAGCAAGAGGAGGACGAGGACCTTTTTCTGCGCGCGCTCGCCCTAATCGCCAGAGCGTGCAGTTCGCCTGGAAGCTTGTGCTTGTCCAGTCGCCCGACCCGCTCGGCTTGTCCCTGCCGTGCCAGCTTCGACGGCGCAGCGGCGGTGCCTCTGGCATCCACGCCGACGCACCCTCCTCCTCCTCTCCTCCTTCTCGTCCTCCTCCTTCTCCTTATTCTCCTCCTCCTCCTCCTCCTCCTCTTCCTTCTCTTCGTCCTCCTCCTCTTCGTTCTCTTCCTCCTTTTCTTCTTCCTGCTCCTCCTCTCCCTCTCCACGCCTAGATCTCTCTCTCTCTCTGCTCACCCCCTGGGATCATGATGGTTGGTCCGCATTTGATAGCTCATGGGTTGTCAGCATGCAAGCCAAACAGACCGCCACCATTCCGACGTGTGCTGGCAACAACAAGAATGATTTTCCTGTCTTGACCCGTGGAAAAGATTATCTGACGGAAGGGCGTACGTATTGCAACCTCTATGGTCTGTGCCGGTGCCCCCCTGGTCCTCCTCCTCCTCCTCTTCATCGTCCTCCTCCTCCTCCGCCTCCTCCTCCTCTAATCGTCTCCTCCTCCTCTCCTCCTCGTCTTCGTCTCGTCCTCCGTCCTCGTCTCGTCCTCCTCCTCATCCTCTCCTCCTCCTCCTCCTCGTCCTGTCATCGTCCTCGTCTCGTCCTCGGTCCTCGTCCTGTCCTCCTCCTCCTCCCCTTTTTCCCTCCTCATCCTCCTCCTCCTCCCCATCCTCCTACTCCTCCTCTCCTCCTCCTCCTCCTCCTCCTCCTCCTCCTCCTCCTCATCCCCTCCTCCCCTCCTGCCCTCGTCCTCTCCTCCTCGTCCTCTCCTCTCCTCCTCCTCCTCCTCCTCCTCCTCCTCTCCTCCTCCTCCTCCCTCTCCTCCCCCTTGCCTCGTCCTCGTCCTCGTCGTCGTCGTCCCCTCCTCCTCCTTTCTCCTCCTCCTCTTTTGCCCTCGTCTCCTCCTCCTCCTCCTCCTTCCCCTCCTCTCTCCTCCTCCTCCTCTCTCCTCCTCCTCCTCCTTCTCACCTCCAGCAGCTGCTCCTCCTCCTCCTCCTCCCTTCCTCCTCCTCCTCCTCCTCACCCTCCAACGCCTGCTCCTCCTCCTCTCCTCCTCCTCCTCCTGCTCCTCTGCGCCTCTCCTCCGACTGCCTCCCTCCTCTCCTCCTCTCCTCCTCCTCCCTCCTTCCTCTCCTCCCTCCTCCTCCTCTCCTCCCCCTCTCTCCTCCTCCTCCTCTCCTAAATCGTGCTCCTCCTCCTCCTCCTCCTCCTATCCTCCTCCTCCTCCTCCCCTCCTTCCTCCTCTTCCTCCTCCTCCTCCTCTCTCCTAATCGTCTCTCTCCCTTTCTCTCCTCCTCCTCGTCCCTCGTCCTCGTCCTCGTCCTCGTCTCGTCTCGTCTCGTCCTCGTCCTCGTCCTCGTCCTCCTCTTCCTCCTCCTCTCCTACTCCTCCTCCTCCTCCTCCTCTCTCCTCCTCTCCCCCTGTCCTCCCCCTCCCCCTCATCCGCTCCTCCGCCTCCTCGCTTCTTCCGCTCCTTCTCCTCCTGCGCCTCCTCCTCCTCCTCCTCTCCTTCCTCCCCCTCATCCTCTTCCCGGTGGCCGACAGTTGCTGCGCGTCGCCAGGCGCTGCAAGCCTCCTTTGGGCTGCGCGCCTGCGGAGGTGCGCCGCAGGGGCGCTCTTCGCGCTCGCCCTCCGCGCCCTCCGCTGCTCGAGGCCCCCTCCCCTGCTCCTGCTCCCTTCCTCCCTCCCTCCCTCCCTTCCTCCTCTTTCTCCTTTTTCTTTCTCACCGCTTCCTCTTCCTCCTCCTTTCCCCCATGCTCTCTCCTCCTCCCTCCTCCCCCCGCCTCCCTCCGCCTCCCTCCTCCTCCTTCCTCCCCCCCCCCTCCTCCCTCTTCCTAGGGGATCTGGCGACGTTCAGGAAGCTCTGGAGGCTCGGGGAAAACAGTGCCAGATACCACCGGACCGTCAAGAGCGACTCGGGATGAGAAACAGGTCCCTGGGGAGTGGCAGCGACTCTTTTTTGTTTGTTTTCTCTCTCTCTCTCTCTGTCTTTCCCTTCTGAAGTTCTCAGAACACAGATCTCGCGCGTTGTGTGGGTGGGTGGGTACGCTGGCACATAACGTAACCCGTCCAGGGCGGGCCGTCTGTCACCTGATTTGATATGCATGTGAGTGCCATGCTATGCCTGCGAGCATCTCGCAACGCCGGCGAGCTCCATTACCAGCAGCAGTCTGCCAAATATGCGACCCATGATGCAGGCGTTGTAATCAGCAATGCGTCTGCCAACGCGACAGCATAGCTCGTGAGCACCCCGGTAATTCCGCGAGCGCCAGCGCAGTCTCTGTGAGCAACACAGTGGCCTGCGAGCGCTGCGATATGCTTCACAATACCACAATTTGCATGCGACCAAGAGAGAGCGAAACTGGACCCAGCCAGAAACGCAACAGCCTATAATCACCTAACGCACGCACAGCAATATGCACGACAATTAGCACCGCGGCCGCACCCGACCATTCACCAGCAGCGTGCAGTTGAGCGCAACGGCAGTCTGCGCGCGCGAGTACGTGGTTTCAGACTGCCGCATGGCGAAGGACACTGGATTCATACGGTGACTACTTGAGATCGCCACGAAAAGCCTGCGACTGCCTCATCTGTTTTCTTTGATTTCCCTTGGCGCCCAAATATGTCTGCGATCTGAAGCTGCCTGTGTGCAGCTCAGTGGCGCCAAGGAATCACAGTGCCCCTATTAGCAGCACCGCATCGCGGCTGCGATCACCACCCAACGTGGGAGGTCATCCCCTGCGAACACCAGAGAGAGAGAGAGAGGGAGAGAGAGAGAGAGAGACAGAGTTAGATATAGAACACAAAGAAGAGCAAACGAAGAAAGAGAGAGAGAGAGAGAGAGAGAGAGAGAGCGAGAGAACATGCTTCACGGCTGCTTGCTTGAAAAACATCCCGCGACACGTCGGGGACCACGGGGACTCCTCTCCCCCCTCCCCCCCTACCCCCCGTGCTCCCCCCCTCCCTGATTCAAGGGGGGGGTTCAAACCCTTCCCCCCCACCCCCTTGAGGACACCGCCGGGGACCGACGAAGAGCGCCCGAAAACCTCAAACCTGTATCCTTTTCATTTTTTTAACCACCTCGCGCCACCCTGCGGCCGCATCACACTTCGAGCCTGTGGATCTGATATCCCGGGGAGGCCTCAGGAGTCATCACCCCCTCCGCCTCCTCCGCCTCCTCCTCCTCCTCCTCCTCCTCCTCCTCCTCCTCCTCTGGAGGCCTCCTAGCTGGGGTCCGAGTAGATGGGGTCGGAGGATTGCGCCGCATCCGCGATGCATCGGCGATGCATTGATGATGCATCGGCGATGCGTCGGTGATGCGTGGGCGGCGTCGGCGTGGAGAGAACTGCGCATCGAGCCGCATCGCCAATGCATCGGCGATGCGGCGCGATCCTCTGACCCCATCTACTCCGACCCCAGCTGGGAGGCCTAGGTCCTCCTCCTCCTCCTCTTCTTCCTCCTCCTCCTCTTCTTCTTCCTCCTCCTCCTCCCTCCCTCCCTCCCTCCCTCCTCCCTCCCTCCCTCCCTCGCAGCCCTGTGAGGCTCGGCGCCGCACCCGAGCAGCTGCCGTCAGAGCAGTTCCTCTGAGCCGAGGCGCGCGTACCTCTGCCCAGGCGGCGGCACCCGGCCGCGCGAGCCCGCCACCGGCCTGGGGCGGCAGAGGGAGGCCCTGCTCCACCATTTTGGGGCGAGGGGGGGGGGAGGAGGAGGAGGAGGAGGAGGAGGAGGAGGAGGAGGAGGAGGAGGAGGAGGAGGAGGAGGAGGAGGAGGAGGAGGAGGAGGAGGAGGAGGAGGAGGAGGAGGAGAGGGAGGCGTGATGATGCTGAGGATGATGCTGCTGCTGTGATAGTTGAGGATGCTGCTGCTGATGATGATGATGCTGTTGATGTGATGTTGATGGATGATGATGAGATGATGATGAGATGATGATGATGATGATGATGATGATGATGATGATGATGATAATGATGATGACGATTATGATGATGCTGCTGCTGATGATGATGATGATGATGATGATGATGATGATGATGATGCTAATGGTGATGCTGGTGATGCTGCTGCCGCTGCTGCTGCTGCTGATGATGATGATGATGATGATGATGATGATGATGATGATGCTGCTGATGCTGATTTTGATGATGGAGATGATGATTAG